ATGTTGCATTTAGATAACATGCCCCAAATTTCACAGCTGTATAATGATATTGGTTTGATTAAGTGGTCAAAAAGGTGTAGCTGAGTTTTTATAGATGGTTCTGATGATTTCATATCTTTGTGGAGTTTGAAGGAGGCTTTCAAAGCTTTTTTAAATAATGTTTCTTTTGCTTCTTTAAAGGAGCCGGATGAATATAGTACTATTCCCAGATATTTATACCTCTTGACACATTCAATTTCTCTATTTCCAAGAAAAAAGGGTTCCTGAATTAGACGGCCACTTTTGTTAAAAATGATTATTTTTGTTTTGTTGCAATTTACTTCTAGACACCACTTATTACAGTATTTATTCAATAGATTTAGTTTGTTCTGCAAATCAATTTGGTTGTCAGATATTAAAGCAAGGTCATCGGCATACAGAAGAGCTGAGATTTTTTTTCCTGATAAGGAAACATTATTGGTACATGAGTTATCTTCTTCAAGTAGGGTAGAAAGATCATTTAGGAATATTTTGAATATATTTGGACTTAACACGTCCCCTTGACGTACGCCAATTTCTGGTGAATAAGGACTTGTAAGTTTGTCGTCTATCTTAATTCGAATGTTACAGTGTCTATACATGTTACATAATATATTATAGAAAAGACCATTGATATTTAATTGGAGAAGTTTTAGTTTTATACCTTCATGGATAACTGTATCAAAAGCTTTATGAAAGTCCACGAAACAGACATATAAGTGTCTGTTCTTTGAATTGATGTATTTATCTATGAGGCACTTCAAAACAAATAGATGATCTGATGTTCTTGATGATTTTGAGAATCCAATTTGGCTTTCGTGAATGATATTATTTTCAATCAAAAAAGTATCAAGCCTATTATTTAAAATAGTGTTAAAAAGTTTCCCAATGCTATTTGTTATTGTTATTCCTCTATAATTTTGTGGGATCCTTGGATTTTCCGATTTAAATATTGGTGTTGTATATCCTTCTAGCCATTTCTCTGGATAAATGCCAGTATTAAATATTGTGTTAAATAACTTCGGGAGGCAGGTGTCTAGGTATGTATGTGATGCTTTCAACATTTCGTTTGTGATATTGTCTAACCCTGGGCTTTTTTCGGACTTCAAGGATTTCATACCTTTATGAATTTCAGCAGATGATATTTTAAAATCTAACTGGGTGAAGGAAGTATGTAGTTGATTGTTTTTTAATTTCAGGATATTATTTTCAATAGTTGCAATGCTATCTTTAAATTTTTCTGGTACCTTTGTTAAGGAGTGAAAATAATCTAGCCAAGTGTCACCATCAATGGATTTTTCAATTTTGTCTTTCTTGTCCTCTAGTTCGCGAAGGGAATTTACTAACTTCCAATACTCTTTAGGGTTATTTTCGTTAAGTTGGTCTAACCTGTCAAGTATGATTCGCTTGAATTCTCTTTTTTTGTATTTTCTTAGTTTAGCATATTCTTTATTGAATTTATAGTAGGAGCCTCTAATGAGTGGATTTTGAGGATATCTTGAAAGGAGTAATGCTTTTTCATTTAATACTTTTCTTTTCTTTTTGAGATCGTGGTCAAACCATTTTTTATTTGCTGCTTTGTTTCTTTTATGTAATTTTTTGGGTGTAAGGGATAATTTTGCGACTGAATCAATGACATTGTGAATAAAATTTGTGGCATCGTTTATGCTTTTTTCATTTTGTTCAATAGGTTTCTCCAAAAATTGGTTTATATTTTTTTGAATTGTAGGATGAGAAAAGGATTTTTGGAAATTTTCTACTGAAAAATTGTCCCACTTGTATCTACTAGGCATTTGTATCATATTCTCACAAACATTCTCACGTTCAAAAGAGGATAATAATTTCATAGATAACCTACAATGACAATCTGAAAGTGGTATAAAATCTGCCACATGAACATATAAAATATCTTCTAAAAGTTCCTCTGAAACAATAAAATAATCTACAACACTAGATCCTGCATAATTATGACATGTATAGTTTCCTCGACAATCACCAAATGTTCTGCCATTAGTTATTCTTAGTTTATTTGTAATACACATTTCTAGTAAATCTTTGCCTCTACAGTCTAGTGTTTTGTCTCTACTGTGTCTTACCCCGATATCTATGTCAATATTATACATTTCATTGTCTATAGGAATGTAAGAGGTTGAATCTCCCCTAATGTAATCAAGTTCAATACCTGTTCTTGCATTGAAGTCACCTGTTAATATAATATTCCCAAGCTTACTATATTTATTAATGATGTCATTCTCTATCTCTTCTAATATGTCTGTATTTTGTGTTCTGTTAAAAGATGATGTTTCTGGGGATATATATGCTAAACATAAATAAACGTCTTTCTTAAATTTGAAAAATTCTTTTTTGAGCCTAAGCCATTGAAATTCTGTGGATGTGTTTTGTAATATTGCAAGACCTTTTCTTATATTTTTCTTAATTAGAATGCCTAAACCACCATAGTATCTATTGTTGGAAGATTTTTTCCTACTTATGGGATAGTACATAAAACCATCTATGTCAATGTATGTTTCATAGCCAATATGTGTTTCAGTAAGTAGAACTAAGTCATGGTCCTTCACATTTTTGATGAATAAATTATCAGATGATTTATGTAAACCATCGGAAATCATACCTCCTACATTCCACATACAAATATTTAGATAACTTTCAACTGCCTGTGTAAAAGGCATAATAAAGGATAACGTGTATGACTGAAGAAAAAAAAAAAAAAAAAAAAAAATAATAATAATAATAATAATAATAATAATAATACAGTTGACTAGAAAATATATCCCTGAATTAGGGAAAAAGGATAAATGAAAAAAGTTAATGATTTCTGCACGAGGCGGAGGTTCGATCCTTAGTAATAGCCCTTCATTGGATAGTAGAGGTAGTCACGCTGGTGGTGGTAGTATCTCCTGTTTCCGGAGTTAATGTCAAAAAGTTTGTCGACTGATCTTTTCAGATTTGATGCAAGAATAGCTGCCCCATCCCTTGTCAAATGTACACCGTCTTTTTCTATTAATCCGCGTTTAGGATGCCCATAGTAGGCAAGGTTACTATTCTCGGATATGGATACCTTTTCTTTTCCTCGCAATGTTTGTTTCAGCATGGCATTTACTATTTCCTGTTTGATGTTCCATTCTTCACAATCGCTTCTAGGTGTGGCCAGGGAGATAATGATTTTGGTGTCCGGAGTTTTGTTTTTAGTTTTCTCGAGCAGACCTAGCATTTTGGCAGTACACTCATCTGGAGTCATGTGTTTGATGTCATTTGTGAGTGAGTGGAATACCATGACATCTGGTTCTTCTTTCATTGTTCCAATGTAGTTGATAGCATCCTCAATGGTATATGCAGTGATTTTCCTTGTAGTGTATTTAGACCATCTTTGAGGTTCTATGTGTTTAATGTTAGATGTTCCGATCAAAACAAGGGATGTCTTGTCAGTTTTTCTTTTTGGTGTTTGTTCATAAGCTTGGTTCCCTTTTTTTGGACTGGTTCCTTCTTTATCAATAGAACTGCCTGCCTGGTTTCCTCTGTTGGGACTGGCTCCTCCTTTTTCAATAAAACTACCTGCCTGTGTATCTGCTACACTCCCAATATGTAACTTCATCTTGTAAATATCATCCTCCTTCTGGTCTAGCATTTTCCTGAGGTGGTTAAGAGATACTTCAAGTTCTTCAATTTGTTTGTTTTTGGATTCTAGTTTCATTGTTAGGTATTGATCTTCTTTCAGATGACTTTCATTCAAGATCTTGAAGTTAGATCTGGTGGTTTCATGTGATTGTTTCTCACCTTTGTATTTGTCTTCAAGGAGAGCATTTTGAAATTGAAGATTAGAGACTTGGTTTGTGAGGTCAGCATTTGTTTTTTGGAGTTTGTTAACTGTTTCCTCTAGGCGCTTAATTTCTTTCTCCATTTTTTGCTGGTCTGTTGTTTTCTGTTTTTCGTTTTTTTCATGGAGCACAATTGATTGCTTAAGTTCGTCAGTTTTTGTTTTTAGGAAACATTCCTGTTTGCCACAGGTTGTGTTTAGCTGTTGTTCGATCTCGTGGAATTTGGTTGAAATCATGTTGGTCAGCTGTTTATAGATTTTATCTGTAGCCTGTACTAATGTAGATTCCATCAATTCCAGCTCAGGTTTTCCCTGATCGGGTTGTACCAGTAATGCATGCTTTGGTTGGTTGTTATTTTTGTCGGTGTTTGTGTCAGGTAAATGTGAGTTCACCTCTTCACGTTCATGTGTTTCCTTTTCTGAGTTATCAGTGTTGTTTTCTGAGTTATCATTGTTGTTGTGGGCAGAGCTTGTTCCGTCAATATGGGTGTCTGAGTCATTGTGCAATGTTTTGGGTTGAGTATTTTCGCTGCTGTCTGATCTTTTGGACATGACAATGTGTTCAAGCTGTTGGAAATATTTATTATAAAAAGATGAGCATGTTGCTCCTTGAATGTTTACCGTCCCTGTAGTGAAGAAGTTGAATTTTACAGAATTGTTTTCTTCATACATGACCTTGATTACACAATTGCTTTTGTTCGGGTTTGATACGCATGTGTTTTCAAAAAAGTCTTGTAACACAGATTTCCATAGTTCGATGTCCTTTGTTTTGAAAGTAATATTATTTATTTTGCCATCACATTGTTGGTGTAAAATGGCATCATTCTCACAAGCAATATCAAGTTCACTTCCAGTTATACACTCCTCATACATTTTGTTTGGTTGCTTGACCCCAGTCGAAGCACGTGTTTTGTACACTGACGCCATTTTGTTTTTAGATTCATCAACTTTTAAATCAAATACCTGGATTACAGAGCCTTGATCCTAAAAACTGCTCAATTTTCGTAATAAACAATAAATCCTTTAGTCTTGTGCCAGCTATGGAATTGATGGTAATTAATTACCAGTGTGAATCTACCATCCAAGTGAGCCGCTCAAAAACACGTTGTTATATTTATCATCGGGATCGGATGCATATATGTAGATACACAAGCTGAGACTGTCTATAGATTCATCTGACATCAGAATGGCAAGCGATTCCCAAGAATCACTAGATTTGTTCCGTGTAAGTTACCTGTAGGATGCAATATATATATAAATATAAATATTTTTTTCTTTTTTTTTTTTTTTGGGGGGGGGGGGGGGTTAACCAAATATTTTCATTAGGGCAATTTGCCAAGCAAAAATTCTTGACACGAGAATAATAGCATCATGGGGGGGGGGGGGGGGGGCATGAGCATGAAGTAGCTGATTTTCTATAGTATATATATGTACATATATGTCGACAAGATTAAAAATGTTTTAGGGGCACACGCCCCCTCCCTCCTGTTCCTATTAAACCAGTGTGCTAAACTCGTTTTTATTAATGTATGTTCCAAGTAATTAGTTTTAAAAATGTAATCGTAAAAGTACTATTCAATTGAAGGGTTCACAAGATTCACATTCTGCCAATCCTAATCTGCCTCCACTGGAAAGACCAGTAACCATGAAGATGATCTGTAAGTATTCAACTTTATTTAACATTTAAAAAAAAAAATATTGAGAGAAAAAATCATAAAAAAAAAGTATCCTTCCAGGACCTCAAGCTTTTATCAAAAGAACCCCTGTCATTATTTTTGCAAGATATATATTTATGTGTTTTATACATTGTTTTAATCAATTGTTAATAGAGGATTAATTAAGAACCCACATAATTTCATAATATCACAACAAGAACCGCTCTTGTTTACATGTGGTATTTAATATTTTACATCTACCGTATTTGAATAGTAATAATATTTCTTTTACCTTGTCAACTTTTTAAAACTAATTATGAGTATCAAACTTTTTATCAATGAAATCATGCTTCTTAAGAAGGGCTGCATCGTCGAAACCCATGAGTTTTCTTTCCGTTACACGTACTACATTCAACGTCAAATGTAGTGTAACAAAGAGAAAAATCAGTGGGTTCCAACAATGGAAGGCCTGTAACAGCTAGTAATTTTACAGGCAATGATGCAAGTGTTTATGTGGTGGAGGTGGACTGGGAGAATATAAATTGTTAAGTTATTAAGGATGATTTTTTTTAAAACCATTGATATCATAACTCCCCCACCCACACAAAGGCATGGCTCTAATGGACAGGATTTGGCTAAAACAAAGGAAATAATTATACGTCACAGTTATGTACAGGCAATAAAATCTGCTTTAAACCACTTCTACTAGTCAGAACAGCAAAGCCAAATCAGTCATATTGATATTAGTGTGCCCTTGTTGCATATTTTCAGGTTTGTTCATAATGTCTTGGGGCTATAATGAGGACACAACATTCTAAATGGGAGATGGTCTTCAAAATTTAATCTTGGAAAATTTAAGGCTAAAATGAGTCAGTTGAATTTACAATCAATGAGCTTCTTGAATCTCTTGCAGATGATGAGGTCTGTAGTTTAAGACAAGAAGTACAAGAGATAAGAAATCTAATGGAAGTCAGTAAGAGTTCGAGCTGTGCAACAAAACCTGGAAGCTTTCAAGTGGAGGGATCAAATGTCAAGGTACATTCATTGTAATATCAATGGTAATTGTATTTGAATAACCACAATTTTAGCTCACCTGAGCCAAAGGCTCAAGTGAGCTTTTCTGATCGAAGAGTGTCTGGTGTCTGTCGTCTGCAAACTTTTCACATTTTCGACTTCTTCTCGAAAACCACTGTGTCAATTTCAATCAAACTTGCCACAAAGCATCCTTGGGTGAAGGGGATTAAAGTTTGTTCACAGGAAGTGCCACACCCTCTTTCAAGGAAAAATAATTAAGAATTTGTGAAAATTTGGTGGCATCTTTTAAAAATCTTCTCAAGAACCACTGGGTAAGAGAAGCTGAAACCTACGTGAAAGCTTCATTGCATACTCTCGATTCTAGTTTGTTCATATCATAACCCCTGGGGGCAGGGCCAGGCCATAAGAGGGGGTCAAAGTTTTACAGAGGGATATATAGGAAATGTCTTTAAAAATCTTCTTCTTCAGAATAGTCATGTTATAATAGAAGTATCCTCATGCAGGTAGTGTAGATTCAAGTTTGTTCAAATCATGAACCCTGGGGGTAGGGCGGGGCCAAAACAGTAGGTCAAAGTTTACCATAGGAATATATAGGAAATGTCTTTAAAAATCTTCTTCTCAAGAACAGCTAGGCCATTATTAGTCATATTAATACAGAAGTATCCTCAGGTAGTGAAGATTCAAGTTTGTTCGAATCATGAACCCTGGGGGTAGGGCGGGACCAAAACAGTAGGTCAAAGTTTTACATACATAGGAATGTATAGGTGTAATGGTTAAGGAGCATTTAAGTAAAACGCATTGAAGGAATGATCTGACAACCCATGGAATAGACTAGTCAAACCAAAGGGTATATAAGCCAAATCATTTTCAATTGTCATTCTATTTGTAATGTTTTAATGCATCTTTCCATCACATTATTTATTGATATTATTTGAATTTTTATTTTTGAAAAATCACTTGTCCCCATAGACTTCAATGCAGTTTTTGTTAATTAATTACTGCTTAGTTGGTTACATTTATGACACTTTCTCTTGGTAAATCCTTTTCTACTGTAAAATGCTTTAAATTAATATCAGAGTATTATGTATGTGAAGGACTTTTAAGGATACAGGATGGAAAACCTTAAGGATAAGAGCAAAATAAAAGTATAAAAGTTATAAAAACAAATAGCAAGTATCCTAGGGAGTTGATGTTAAGTTCTGGCGCATGGGTGTAGTAAATCTGAAGATTGAGACACCTGGTTCTTATCTATCAATGGGAACCTATGGGAGAAACTCAGTGCAAGTTAGTGCTTAACCCAGTCCCCATCTCTAGATAAGAGAAAATTTAAGTACTGTGTGATATACCCTCAGACATAGCTATCTTAATAATCATTCCAGTCATTAACTCAGACAAACTTGAAAGTAAAAGGAAAACCTATATATCCCTTGTAAGAACCTGATCATACACGTTACATAGGAAATATCTTTGAAATCTTCTTCTCAAGAATAACTAAGCCCCAGGGATTTGAGGCACAACAGAGGGTCAAAGTTTTGCTTAAGAATATATAGGAACCATCTTGAAAAAATCTTTTGCTCAGCAAAGCCATGATTAGTCATATTATTATAGAAGCATCCCCCCTGTTCAATACTGAACTGATTTCTGCTTCTTCCTAGCCAATGTGATCAGGTGAGCAATGTGGCCCATGGGCCTCTTGTTTTACTTTATCCCCTTGCAATGGAGTTGAAAGAGATACAGTAACACATTTGTGAGTTAGTTTGTGTGTGTGTTAGTTAAATGTCCTTGTGCGAAACGGAAGGTAATTTGCATCGGGATTGATGTCGCATGGTGGCTTGATTTATAGAATGATATGGAATTCAGATGTGCTCTTTGCGAGGGGATGCTCTGCTTTGCAGTGCCCTTGTTTTTATTAAATGGTAGAAAATTAGATTTTAAGAAATAAATTCAAATTTGATAGCTGTCCTATAGATTATTTTATAACTTGTTTGGATAATTTTGCCAAATTTCCCCAATTCAGGTAATAGAGTAAATGTATAACTTGGATAGATAATATAACATTCATTCTTTACTTTAAACATTTATTTAAATCTTTTACAGAAACCACTAATAGCTTTTTTGAAGACCTTATTCTTCATGTATCCCTGGATCAGCGATACAGATGATGACCTAAAGGTATCTTCATTCTTTCTGAAAGCAGCAAATTTCTTTAAATGATGTTATAACAAGTTTGCTTGTACCTGGTATATCAATTAGCCATAGCATGAAATGGAAAAAAGTGTTCATTATGCCCCAGCTTCTCCCAGCAGATAAGCTTTAGGGATACTTAAAAACCACAATGTCTGTCTACAGCATTTATTCAAATTAAGGTATCACAGGGGTAAAATTTCTTATCATTCTATCTGTTATCTTTTGACATGTCCATTTGCTGCAAATATAAAATTTTTAAAGATCATTATTTTTTTTTAACTCTTTAAAAGAACTAAGATGTCATCGTTCATAAATTTAATATCGAGGTTATAAATTTACATGACAGACCAAGGTTACTCATCGAGTTTTGTTTGTATTTGATCTTTGTTGGAAACATCCAAGTATCATAATTAATAAGATCTCCTGGTTATGAAAATTGTATTTTTTGGTGTTTGTAAAATAATACATAAAACTAAACTTAATCTTGAAATTAAGAACATACATTTTCCTCTACTGATTGTAATATATACTAACATGTTGTTACTCTTTATAGCTAACAACTTGTTTAAATTCCAAAATGTCTGCATTTCATTTCTTTTTTAACCTGAATTTTAGGGGCAAAGATTTATATTCTTTTTTAAAATTCTTTTTTATCCCCTTTTAAGCAAAACATTACAGCCATATTGAGCCAGTGTGGTTGGGAGGTAAATGGGAGTATGCTGGTCACATGCTTCTCATTTGCCTCCCATTCCTTCACCAGCTGGAGGAACCAAGTCAGACAGAAGGTAACTTAATTAGATATGACAATTTATTTAACTATACATATAGCATTCATAAAAATAAAAATAATATCCTTTGAAAAATAATTGGGATGCAGATTATTGTGATATATGCGGTATATTTGATATTCGGTTAAATTCATAAATAATACATGTATCAATTATATATGTATATATATTTTTACCTATGAATATGCTGTATTTCAGCTGGTCACTCCAGAAAAAAATGTGGAGGGGATGCCTCTGAAGGCACTGCAGAGGTACCTCTACAGTGCCTTCTGGGTATGTCCATCTCCCATTGATGAAAAGACAAACTTTAAAGTGACCCTTGCCCTGGTAAGATTTCATTTCATTTTATGCAGAAAAAGCAGTAAATAAATTGACATCATTCGGTACATTTATAATCTAAAATCAATTTTTCTTTTACTTTACCAATATGTTCTTCTCAGGACCAGATAGAATTTGTGAAATTCACAGTGCATTCTGCTTGCTGATGTTTTTATTTCTTCACTTTGTTTACAGAGAGCATTCGCCGACGGGCACAAGTTGTTTAAGAAAAGTTCCGATGCAACCTCCATTGACTTCTGGAGGGCATTCAGGAAGAACATTGATGCTATGGTAAGGTTTCTGCACACCCATACCAAATGTTAAATTTTATTCTGATCACCTGTCAACATTGTCTGTCAGTCTGTCCATGTTTTTGTCAACTTGAAACAATTGTGGATTCCTTCAGAAGCACCTTGCCAAGTGCAATCAACTTATCACAAAGCATATGTGGATAAAAGGGGTACATTAAATTTGCAATCTTTCAAGGGGAGATAATTAAGAAAGAGTGAAAAAAAAATTAATTGGAATTTAGAAAATCTCAGCAAAATTCACTAGGCCAGAGAAGGTGAAATTTTTATGAAGCCTTCCTGACAAAGTGTAGATTCAAATTTATTCAAATCATGGCACAGAGGGTAGGGTGGGGCTAGTGTAGGGGGATCAAAGTTTATCATGGGAATGTTATATTGAGAAGAGTTTTTTTAAAAATCTTTTCAAGAAAGGTATAAAGCTATGATAAGTCATTCATATTATTAAATATTGAATGATCCTTTTGTAAATAGTGGTCCCTGGGGGAGAGGGGGGGGGGTCAAAATCTTACAAAAAGGAACATAAGAAGACCTGATTGACATTTTCATATATTATTCTCTATTGGAGAAACTTTGGATATCCATTTCACGCAAAGATAAGTATGACCAGACAATGAATATTTTTTTTAACCGAAAACATTTTGGCAAGTTCATGGCCACATTTATGTAAGAAATGATTTTAATTTTTGAAGATTCATGAGGACATGAACTATGACACTTCATGCCGGCATATTCCATGAAGTGCGTTGACGCTTTCTCATGAATATGCCAGTGTGAAGCGTTGAAGTTCATATATCTCATGAATTTTCAAAAATTGAATTCATTTCTTATATTTACTTTATTTTTCTGATGAGTTGCCACAAATTACGCCATTTAACTGTCATTTTTATGCCCCTTCATGAATATGGCCGGGGCATATAGTGTTTGTCATGTCCATCTTCCGTCCTTCTGTCCATCTTTTATAATGTGGTATTATGACATAACAATGAAGATATTCATGCTCATCCATGGTACGTAGTTCATGAGAAAATGAACGGTCTTCTAATTTGCAAAGAATCTCAAGGAAAAATATTTGGAAATGTAAATATACAAAATTGTGTTGGAACTTTAGATATACATACCACTACATGTTGTATGATACAGCAATTGAAGTAGCATTAATACAGAATTCTCATGCAGTAAGCAATTTTTTATTTTATTTTTTATTTTGCAGATGAAACAGTCTCCAGAACGATGGGTTGCATTGGAACAGAGAATTGTCAAAAAAATTGAAGCTTCAAATAAAGAAGATTGAAAAAAAACCACAGTGTTTGTTGTGATTGTTCCAGTTGTATGATAATACAATTATTGTAATCAAAAGAAACACAGGATATAAATTCAATACCATTAGAAAAAAATAATTGTCTATCTTAAGTGAGAATCTCAAGTAAAATGAAATGACATTATTCAGAAAATCATCCAATGAATGTGCATAAAAATTTTCGCATGAATATCGTGCGAATTTTAAATCATATGAAAGGATGACTGCACTTAACGCCTGTTTTTGGGTCTTTTTCGGTTGCTTGTGCTGCTTTTATGTCTAAACCTTATCTCACTTTTGTATGTTTATGAAAGAATACTGTCAATTTGGAAGCACATTTTAATCTTAAAATGATTTTAGACTGTGATACAATAAAATGATTCAATGTTTTTTGTCCTTACTGCTTTCCAAATATAGTGAATTTACACTTACCTGCCCTTGATTGAACATTAGATATGCATGAGAGGTGGAGCTATCATTGTAAGAATGGCTCTAAAATTAGACTACATAAACAGCTGATAAATAACAATGACATGTTTGAAAAAGCGAATGTGATCACTCTTTCCAATCTCCTCTCCATTCTGTATGGCATAAATACACTTCTGACAAAGGTTTCAAAACGAAATTAACAATATGAGCACGTCAATGTAATTAAAGCAGATTTTATATCAATGCCAGATGACTTAATGTGTTCGAACACAATGTCCTAGTTAGCACAAAACATGCTTCCTTACAAGTCACGTGTCGGAATTTAGTATTCACAAAGTTACCTGAAGTAAGAAATCACGTGGTGAATTATAATATTCAACATGTCACAATCCTTGGTTACAACACAGAGAGCGAATGTAAGAAGAAGCATTTTTTTCTCTTTTTAACCATGAGCGCATGTTTGTCTATTAATCTCCTTTTGATACATTATTATTTATGCAAATATACAACTACTGTTAAACGGCGAACAATAGACAAACATGCGCTGACTATGTATAAAGTCAGTAAAAAAGTGGGCGTCCTCATTATTGAACGGAAATTCAAGAAATTGTGATGACCCCTGCCTTTGAAAACAGATTCGAACTTCGTAAATACACACTTTTATTAAGCGTAATTACATAAAGTTGTAGATTGGATGTTGATCATTCTTGCAATGAAAAGAAAAATGCTTGTTTTGAAAGATTATTTTGTCGCAAATTCCGCATGTCCTTAAGTGCAGTCATCCTTTATATGAAAATTATGTCAAAATCACATAAAGTTTTCGCATAAATTTCATGCGATTTGTTTTTCGTCTCTTTTTCATGCGAAAAATTTACACGAAATTCATGCGAATTTCATATAAAATTTATGCGAGCCACTTTTGCCTGTGTAGAATTGCACCGCAATTGGCGATCAAACTTTAACATTGGAATACTTAAAAGATCTATAAACATTTTTTTTTTTCACAGAAACACCAAAATCATGATAAGTCATATTTATAAGATAGCATCCTCATAAAGTGTAAATTCGAATCTGTTTAAAACTTTACCCTGGCGTTTAGGCTTCGGCTGCAATGGGTGAACAAATTTTACATGTGAATATATAAGGAAAAGTATGTGCTGATGAAGATCAAGAATGGTCAGGATAAGTTAGGTCTTTCCAAGTTTTCTATTTTAAGCGTTATCATGCACCTTGGTTTCTTTTTTTACAACCCCAAATCAGAGAAGAACACTTAAAATAAGTAATACTTTTTCATTGACTCGTTTCATTCTCTGTCATTTTCTTTCTGCACTTCTCTAGAACACGTTAAGTTAGTTAGTGGACTTAGAATTTACTTACCTTGATTTTGCAAAGAATATATTTTCAGGCTTTACAAAGGATGCTGCTATGGATACTTCTGGAATGAAGCTTTAAATAGCTGCGCTGGGAACATTCACAGTGAAATCTGATTTTTTGCGAAACGTACTTTCAGATAATTGCAATTCAATTTTCTATGTATCATTTTATCTTTTTTATCACAGAGACGATTGGCTCTTTGTTATCATTCATTTTCTTTTGTCAGTCTGTCGTCCTCTTTCATTTAAGAATATTGCTGAGATTCTTAACATTTTATAATTGAAATTTTCCTTACTTTGACATATAAGAATAAATTGAATTTAAAGTCATATTGAAGGTCGGTGTCACTTTGTTTAACAGCAGTGTTTGATAACAATAAAAGGTATTCTTCCTTCTGAGTTTTGTTTGATTGAATTTCGATATTAGACACTGATCAGGGATTTCTTATTGTTCACACCTATTTTATGCTCTGAATGAACAAATATTCCGGATTTCCAAAAGCATAAAAAAAACGCATATGGGGTGGGGAAACATTTTGTGAGCTAAATGCGCACAGCGTCTCTAGATTAATTAGATCTCGTACTCAAATTAAAGACAAATCTGGATTTTGTGAATACATTGCTTAGACTAATCAGGTAATACTCACAGACATCGATATACATTGTATACCGAATACTTTGTTTTCTTTTTATAGAATGCATGGACGGATACATGGGGGAAAACTGCAGCTTTATTTGTCCCTACCCATTGTATGGAAAAAAAATGCAGGAAAGATGCTCACCTGTAACCCCGCCACAGGATGCCTCAACACTGGTATTCAAAATTTTGGAACTAATATATGCATAAATGTTTGTAGATGGAAAAAAACTGTGGGTAATCTGATCGAGGACTGAGCTTACAAAATGATACCTCTGCTCACATATTGGTATCTATGTTTTGCTAAGGGAAATACATGTACATTCAGTGGTGTACACGAAATAGGACTTTCAGACAAGAGATTGCTACTCTAAAGGACGGACATCGCCAATAAAACACACCCCTCTCATTTTTTTTCAAATAGGTGGTATAAAACCGACAGACAAAATACTAAAAAGTAATAATATTTTTCAGAAAAACATGATTTTTTTCTACAATTGTCAGTTTGGCAAGTATTGAAAACTTTAATGTATGAACACATTATCGCAACTTATGTTTCATTAAGAGATGTATAATACATAATACTACAGTTCTGCCTGTGGAGTAAACAACTTACAGCTTAACTTTAGTATCTCAAACGCCAGTATCTCAAATACCATTGATAAGTCGAGCTGATTGAGAAGCCTCAACTGCTTATTCTTTTAGAATGTTGCTGTCGATATCTCGAATCCTCGGAAATCTCGAACTTCGAGTTGAAGATAACAAGGTTTGACTGTATTTGTTTATAAAAATGTTCAAATTATTAAAATTAATTGATACCAGTATAATAGATTTAAATATTATATTTGAGAGCACTTTAATTTAAAAAAAATGAAGATTTTCTAGAAAAAATGTAGAATTCAAATTTAACAAAATTTCGACAAAATAATTGAAATGAATTAAAGACTAAAATCAAAAATGGGGAAATTGAACCATGGGTTTTAGATATTTTGCAGGTTAAAAAAATTCAGAGTCAACAAAATAAGAAGAATCGGTAAATAAAGTCGCAAATTTGACTTTTTGACCTTTTACTTCTTAATATAATCTTGACTTTTAATGCACATAAATCAAGGAGACTCCTCATATATGTGTCCAAATATAAGGCCTATACTATAAAGGAAGGAAAAGTTGCAATTCATTAAATGCATGTAGATAACATAAAAACATTCTAAATGTAGACGTGAGAATGTCCAATACATGGGATGATTTTATAGAACAGGGTAAAAACATGTCAATGTTTATGTATTTTTCTTCCAAAAATTATTGATCAATGACATCAGAGTGATTTTAGGAAAATGATTTAAAATTGATTTCACAGGGGTTTCTACTACCTTTACTAGTCTCTCGGGGGAAAATAAAAAAAATGATGCTTGAATAAATCTTTGACATCAGGAAAAAACGCCTCGTGCAGATTTTAAAACATAAAATTGAAAGAAAGATATTAATACATAGCCCCCTCCCTAAAAATATGCGCGTCAAATGTCGGCAAACAGTCTTCACACCATCCAGGAAGTTGCACCACGAGCACTCAAATAAGAATTCCTTAAATGATTACTCTGTTCTCCATTTGTATTGTTTCAATGGACTTTAAATCTTGATAAATGTTCGTTATCTTTATTTTTCAAGGTAAGAATCTAACAGTTTTAATGAAGTTCTTGATTAAAAAAATCACATACGTTTGTCATAATATACTGGTAAAAAATCTATTTTCAAACCATGTAAAATAACAGTCATTCAAAATCGACAGAACATAAGTTTGAATGAAATAATTTCAATTTTCGAATACTTTCGGAACTAAATAATAGACAGTTAACGTTGAGGTAGGTATTTAATTGTATGATAGGTCTTTTAAAACTTAAGTACCTTTTTGCGAGCTCTCGCAAAATTGACTCTGAAAAATAATTTACAATTATATCACTAATTCCTAAAATTACACATTTTTCTAACATATGAAACCTTTTTCTAATATACAAACACAGACCATAGATGTATCGCCGACCTCTTGAAATTCTTGCTAAGTTAAACCCGATGATATTTATTCCCTGCAACTGTATGCATTCTGTGGACAGTCTTTCAGAGTGTATCAACTTGAAGAATGAGCAGTCAAAAAGGCACATTACACAGTCAAAAAATAAAAAGCCCTCGTAAAGGCCATTTACTACTTCAACAATATAAACATGCGCTAAGGAAAGGAGTATATACAATTTGCAAATCTTAGGGGAAGTCTTTTTATGATTGATTGATAACTTTGTAAGTTTTTTAAATAGTTATAACAATGTAAAGTAAGTACAGTTTCTATTTCTTGAGAAACAAATACTAGGCAGTATGGGAGCATTTATTCTATTACGCATAAATTATCTTCATCTACAGACCATAGCAATCGTACATTGTAAATTGCAAAGATGAATGCGATTAACCTTTAATTGGAAGACAAAATTATCATCTGTAAGAAAGTTTAAAAAATCACATAATGTTAAATACAGATTCTAAATGCCTACAATGTACATATTCTACCGTTATAAT